GCGCGCAGCGGCCGGCCCTCAAGGCACCGGCGCGGAGAGTGGCAGCGCCGAAAAAGGCCCTCGCACGCCGGCCGGCCGCGAAGCCGTCCAAAGTGGCAAAGAAGCGCCGTCGTGCTGAAAGCACGGACTCGGAGGAATCGTTTGCCAGCGCGCTGAGTGGCAGTGACTAAGACGCACGGCGTGCAGAGTTGGTGAAACAGGCGTGTGCGTGTGGGCAGAGACGCCCACATACCCACACTGACAGAGGCAGACAAACAAGAACAAGAACGAGAATCGAATTTTTAAAAAAGTTGCCTCAGCGCAAGCTGTGTTATGCCCCTTTTCTACCCTTTCATACAGTTGATAGTTGCTTCTGCCTCTGTTGTTCGTGTTGTTCTTGCTTTGTTTTCACTGCTTGAGTGCAGTGGTGGCGATTGTGCCGGAGATTGTTCGAAGCCACACGCACCATACGGAAAAGTGAAGGGAAGGTCGAGGAAAGAGAACACATAAAGTTGAGGGAGTATATATTGGCTGCCGTCCTATTTTTACTGAAACACACACACACGCAACTAATATATATCTATCTATATATATTTGTTATACAAAACCATTATCGATATTGTCTCAGGATGGGCGGGGCTGAAACCGTTGAAACGACCCCCAGTGAACGCTGCTGCTCCTACGACAGGTTGAGGACAGACGGGCGCATTGAAAGAATGCTGCGCACTCAACGAGGGCTGGAGAGTGTGAATCCGCCCAACTGGGAGGCCCTGCCGCACCGCTTGGTCTTTGACGCGAACGGTATGCCCTTAACCGACAACATCAAGGTGCACTTTGCGCGCGAGGGATTGCTGAGAATGGAAGACGCGCTGGAGATTGTGACACGCTGCGCGTCCATCATGAAATGTGAACCAAATCTACTCCATGTGAAGGGGCCCGCTATTGTGTGCGGTGACCTCCACGGGCAATTCTTCGACATGCTGAAGTTGCTTGAACTTGGTGGCGCGCCGGGGGAGCAGCAGTACATCTTCCTTGGCGACTACGCTGATCGCGGAAACTTCGGCATGGAGATTGTTCTTCTCTTTATGGCGTACAAGATACGACACCCGACGCGTTTCTTTATGCTACGTGGCAATCATGAGTCTCGCTACTTGACGTCGTACTTTAACTTCAAGCGTGAGGCGGAGTACAAGTACTCGTTGGCCTTGTACAACGAGATCATGGCGGCCTATGACTGCTTCCCGCTCGCGTGTGTGGTGGATGATAGCTTTATGTGTGTGCACGGCGGTCTTTCACCGGAGATTACGTACATGGCTGACATTGATCTTATCCACCGCTTCCGCGAGCCCCCGTCGTCTGGGCCGATGTGCGACCTGCTGTGGGCGGACCCGATGTCGGAGCAGGAGGAGGTGGACCTGCCGCCGGGCACATTATTTGTCGCCAACACCGTGCGGGGCTGCTCATACACGTACAGCCATGACCAGGCGTGCCTCTTTCTAGAGAAGAATGGCCTGCTTGGCATCATTCGCGGCCATGAGGCGCAGAGTGAAGGATACCGGTTATACCGCCACTCGCAGAAGGGTGTGCCTGCAATCGTCTGCGTCTTCTCGGCTCCAAACTACTGTGACACTTACGACAACCGTGCTTCCTTTGTACGCATTCACGGGAAAGAGATGAATATTCGCCAGTACAATAGTAGCCCCCATCCTTACTACCTGCCCAACCTCATCAACGCCTTCACATGGTCATTGCCGTTCATGGTGGAGAAGACCCTAGAGTTGTGGAATGAGGTGGTTGGTGATGACAATGGAGAAGTTGCATTGGTGCCAGTGAACGTTTTCGCGGACCGTATCGCTCAGATGCAGAAGAAAGTGGCTGGCATGTCTCATACAATTCGGCTCTTGGGCGGCATGTGTGCAGA